CTATTCTTACCATGGCTTGAGAGGCCCTGCATGATCTGCCGCCGCCTACCTTTCAGACCTCATCTTCTTCTGTTTTTTTTTTTTTTTTCCAATTGTGCTTTAGGTGAAAGTTTACAGAGCAAATTAATTTCCCATTCGATAGTTTGTACATAAAGTGTTCAATGACATTTTTTGGGTTCCCCGCCATGTGTCAGCATTCTCCAAATTTCTGCCCTGAGTTCCCTGTTTCCTTTCGTCCAGATTTTCTACCCTTTCCTGCCTTCTCATCTTTGCTTTTGGGCAAATGTTGTCCTTTTGATCTCATGTAATTGATTGTTCTAAGGAATACGTTCCTCTTGGGTGTTACTGTTTGTTTTATGAGCCTGTCTATTGTTGCCTGAAAGGTGATCTCTGGGAATGGTTTCAGTTACAGGTCAAAAGGGTGTCTTAGGGCCATAGTCTCAGGGGTTCCTCCAATCTCTGTCAGACCAGTAAGTCTGGTCTTTTTTGTGAATTTGATTTTTTGTTCTACATTTTTCTTTCGCTCTGTCCTGGACCGTCTGTTGTAATCTCACTCTGAGCGGTTGATAGTGGTAGCTGAGCACCATCTAGTTCTTCTAGTCTTAGGGTCATGTAGTCTGTGGTTCATGTGGTCCGTTAGTCCTCTGGACCAACTGTTCCCTTGAGTCTTTGTTTTTTTTCACTCTCCTTTGCTCCAGATGGGAAGAGACCAAAAGTAGTATCTTAGATGACAGCTCGCAATCTTTTAAGATCGCAGATGCTATTCACCAAAGTAGGATGCAGAACATTGTCTTCATAAATTATGTTGTGCCAATCGACACAGATGTTCCCTGAGTCTGTGGTCCTTCGCCTTTGAGCCTAGGAACTTTGTCCCATGAGATGTTTGGTTACGTCTAAGAAATTTCCATGACTGTGCCCCTTGTGTGCTCTATCGTCTATATTAATATACATGCAGCACCTACAATTAGATATGTAGAAATACCCACAACCAAATCTATATCTGCAGGTGGGTGTACATCACTCTTCTTTGGCCACTTCTTTCTAGCCATATTGGCCCTCTTTTGCTTCCCAGATATGTTAGGCTTGTCCTTGCCTTAGAATCTTTACATTTGTTTTCACTGCTATCCTTCTGATCTTCCCATTCCGTGTTCTTTTTTTCTTGAAGCTCTCTATTCAAGTGATACCTCTGCAGAGAGGCCCTTCCTATCCATGGAAATCCATACTTGTTAACTCTCTCTCCCCTTTTCTTAATTCTCTTTACCTAACATTATAATATATAGCTTATTTGTTTACTGCCTGTCTCTACCACTAGAACATGAGTTCTGTGAGGTCTTAGTGATTATGCTGTCTCCAGTGCTAGAACAATGTGTAGCACATAGCTGAGGCTGAACCAATATTTGTTGAACGAATAATTATCTTCCATCCTTCATAGATGGTGGGTTTGCATCAAGAATGCTGAGTTCCTTTTGCATCAAGAATTTTGAATTCCTCTTCTCTTTCTACCCTCATGTCCAAGCATTCCAATCTAGTGCTCTGGCTTTAACTACCATCTACCCCAGTGGTTATCCTCTGAGGGTGACTGTTCCCCCAGGGGACATTTGGAGGTCCAGTCCTCCAGTCCTTGGAGGTCCAGTCCTCCAATCCTTGGAGGTCCAGTCCTATTTCAAACACATGTGTCAGGGATGTTGAAGACCTCCTGATCCTAGTATGCCCCCTAATAAAACCCTGAATATAGGAACCCAGGATCCCAGCCTGGGCATTCCAGTCTGTGAATCTCTTCTAGTAAGCAATCTCCAAATGCTGAATCAAGGCAAGTGCACCCACACAAAGCCTAGGAAGATGGCAGTCTCAAGGTCATTTAAAGGAAGGAAAGGGCTACCGGCCAAGGAAGATCGAAGAGCAGGGTAGGGAAAGAGGAGAATAGGGAAGCCCAGTATTGCTACTATACAGTCAGAAAAAGTTTATCATGTCTAGCAGGATAATCTCCAATAAGACTCTAACATGAGCAGCAGCAACAACAACAAAAAACACTTAAACAAGAGACTTGATAGTATTTCTGCACAGAGCTTCATGTTTTATTTATTTTTTGCAATAAAGCAGTAGTGCAGAAGGGTAGGGGACCGTGGAATTACTGGGATAGAGGGATAAGTGTGTGGAAGGTGGGGAAAGGGCAGAGTTAAATATGGGAGAGAGAAGGCTAAGAGAACTCATTGTTCATAAAAGAAAAGCTATGGTATGGATCCGGAGGAGGGGAAGGAACAAGCACTTTTATCTTTCTGAAAGGAATGCTGGGGTATGAATCTGGAGGAGGGACTTAACTAGTTCTGTACCCAGATTGTTGCTCTGCTTGGGCAACCCTGCAGAGGCCCCTGCTTTCCACTAGCCATAATAGAGTGGGGAGGATGCAATCATTGGTTTTGATTAAAGAGGTGGGCGGTGTAGGCGGGAGGCCATGCGATCGGTGGTGGTGCGAAGAGGTGGTCCCAGTGCAGCAGAAGGAACCAATCACTGGCGACTCCGGGTTCTCTCTGCTTCCTTAGAGACTCCGCAGCAGTAGAAGTACCGGAGGTGCTGGCTGCCTTCTCTAGAGCTACGGTCGCCGAGGCGCAGCGCCTCTGGGGGTGCAGCCTAAGCTGCAGTCGAGTGCACCGGCACGCCCGGGCTCTTGCCCCCGTCCCGAAAAATTGCAAGCCTCGCCTGTGGCCCTGTGGCAGGACTAAGATGGGGAAAGATACTGGGAGAGGAGGGTCGTGGGGTGGGAGGTGGGCAGGCGACTTGCTTCTCTGTATTCGTCCCAATTAGCACCAAGTTGGCAGACAACCCCACAAACCCACGGATCCTCGCTCTCCCACAAGTCACATTCTATAGAGATTTTAAAAACAATCTGATCGTAAGAAAACTTCAACTCCCCTCATCGGTCAGAGAGGGGACAGACTCTTAGCATCACTGCCTTCCAGTAACACCATGCAGGAGTAACCCAGGTGATGGTCACTTGCAGAGCTCTCCCCAAACTGTGCATCCTGCGGGGGAGAAACTGAGTCTGCCCTGCAGAGAGCCCCCTGCGGGAGGGGCGGGATGGCTAGCAGAGCGCAGCGATCAAAACAGCTTACTGTGGGACTGCACAAACGCAAACCCCATCCGAGGAGTTCCGCCAGAAACACCACCGCCTGCATTGCGTCGGACCTGACCATTTCCAATGTGAAATCCCCAGAGAAGGTCGCGGCCTGGGACCGAGGGTGTGCGGGGCTGTGTTTCCGTAAGGGAAGTAGAGTTGGTAGTCGGCTTTTCTGGTAGGAGAAGAGAAAAAGCTGTGCTGTCAGGGGTGGGAACTGAATGACAACTCCCCTCTGGCAAACCACCCCCTCGTATTTTCCATCTACCTCCTAGCTCCTGTCCTCCTCCGCCCTCCCCATCCCACGCCCGGGTGGGCCAATCGCTGCTCCACATCCGAGGCGCTTTCTCAGGTTTCTGCTGATCTTGCAGCGCCCAGAAATGGACCGAGCGGATCCGCCGCCGCACGCTCCCTGCTCCACTCTGAGCTTCTAAGACCTCCCGGTGCACCGCGTAGGCTCTGCGAGGACCGAGCTCGGGTGCTGGGAGTGGAGGGGACCTACAGCCATGTAGATCCAGACTCTCTCCCGCCCGCCGCCTCCTTCGGGATCGAATCAAGGGCTTCCATAGTGTTAGGAGGGGGCGAAAGTGCTGTTTATCGTCATTTGTTTCAGAGCTTTGGGAGAGGGTGGCATTTTTGCTTTTCCGCCCCACATCCTCCGGAACTCCTGCACTGGAGAGAGGACGGCGTCTCCAGGTTGCTGGCAACGGGTGAGAATGGGGGTAGGGAATGGACGTTTCCGCGGTACCGGCTCAACAGAGCAACTGTCCAACTGAGAGGGGCGTAGGAAGAGGGGACGAGGCGGCGACTTTGCCCGGGCGCCTCTCGGATGCTGCTGCGGCGGCGGCCGCTGCTCCGGTCCGGGTACTGCAAAGGCGACCTGCCGCATTCCGACTTGGGCTCTCCGCGGACTGAGCACCGCCCCTGCGCCAAACCAGCTGGCCAGGTAGGGGTCTCCCCAGATTCGGGCTGCAGAAGCGGGGCTTGGGGCGACAGGGTGGGAGGTGGGAGGGGGGGAAGGAGGATGCTGCTTGGGACCCAGGACGCCCCCAGCGTCTTTGGGAGCTTTTCCGATCTCTATACAGCCATGTCCCGTACAACAACCAAATAACATAACGTCCTATTTCACAGAACGGTATGTGGACGTTAAACGAGGCATGACTGTAGTTTAAGGAAGTTGTAAACACATGGGCTGTTGGGCATTGGGAAAAGTGGGATGGAAGAGCCCCAAACTTGGATTTCTGGGTGTCTGCGTGTGTGTCTGTCTGTGCGCTTGTGATAACCCTAGCAAAAGCCCAGCGCTTTCTAAAAAAGCTAGAGGTCTGTGCTCTTTGGTGTCTGTAGGTCCGTCCCCTCTGAATGCTTCTGATTTTCTACCCCCCGTATCACTTTCTATTTCTCTGCAGCGTCCATCGATCGCCCTGGTGGGAGCTTAGAAGGCGGCAGGCGAAGAGGGGTAGGAGGGGGGAGAGCCGAGGAGAAGCAGAGGGGATGGCAGGCGTGGGGATCTGCTGAGCTGGCACTCAACCCGGTCCTAGGAGGGCTCGCGGAGGGGAGGGGAGGCCAGGGTGACCCCCACAGCGATGGCCCGGTCAGCTAGAACGGCACTGCGTTAACGCACCTCGGAGCAGGAAGAAATACAAAACAAAAAACAAACCAAAAAACCCTCAGCAAAAAGCTGCACTGGGCTTTTTCGCAGGCGAGGTGATTCCAAATTGAGTCAAAGGCGGGGTGGAAGGGAAGGTAACAGGAAGGCCCAGACCTCTTGACCTCTGCGCTTTGAAGCCCCTCCCCTTGAGCGTGGGGGAGACGCACACTCCGGTGGGGGGGGCGCTAGGGTCCCCCCCCACCCCTCTTCCCTCGCTGTTTCCCACCCCGGGCCCTCTCCTGGCCTCTTACCCCTCCACCTGGCTTCAACCATGACTGTGATGTCGGGGGATAACGTGGACGAGGCATCGGCCGCGCCGGGCCACCCCCAGGACGGCAGCTACCCACGGCAGGCGGACCACGACGACCACGAGTGCTGTGAACGCGTGGTGATCAACATCTCCGGGCTGCGCTTCGAAACGCAGCTCAAGACCCTGGCGCAGTTCCCCAACACGCTGCTGGGAAACCCTAAGAAACGCATGCGCTACTTCGACCCCCTGAGGAACGAGTACTTCTTCGACCGCAACCGGCCCAGCTTCGATGCCATCCTCTACTACTACCAGTCGGGGGGCCGGCTGCGGAGGCCCGTCAACGTGCCCCTGGACATGTTCTCCGAGGAGATCAAGTTTTACGAATTAGGCGAGGAGGCCATGGACAAGTTTCGGGAGGACGAGGGCTTCATTAAGGAGGAGGAGCGCCCCCTGCCGGAAAAGGAATACCAGCGCCAGGTGTGGCTGCTCTTCGAGTACCCCGAAAGCTCGGGGCCGGCTCGGGTCATCGCCATCGTCTCGGTCATGGTCATCCTCATCTCCATCGTCATCTTCTGCCTGGAGACCCTTCCGGAGCTGAAGGATGACAATGACTTCACGGACACCATCCACCGCATCGGCAACACCACGGTTCTCTACGCTTCCAACATCTTCACGGACCCCTTCTTCATCGTGGAAACCCTGTGCATCATCTGGTTCTCCTTCGAGCTGGTGGTGCGCTTCTTCGCCTGCCCCAGCAAGACAGACTTCTTCAAGAACATCATGAACTTCATTGACATTGTGGCCATCATCCCCTATTTCATCACCCTAGGCACTGAGATAGCCGAGCAGGAGGGAAACCAGAAGGGCGAGCAGGCCACTTCGCTGGCCATCCTCAGGGTCATCCGGTTGGTAAGGGTTTTTAGAATCTTCAAACTCTCCCGCCACTCTAAGGGCCTCCAGATCCTGGGCCAGACCCTAAAAGCTAGTATGAGAGAGTTAGGGCTGCTCATCTTTTTCCTCTTCATCGGGGTCATACTGTTTTCTAGCGCAGTGTACTTTGCCGAGGCGGAAGAAGCTGGGTCGCACTTCTCCAGTATCCCCGATGCTTTCTGGTGGGCGGTGGTGTCCATGACCACTGTAGGATACGGTGACATGTACCCTGTGACAATTGGAGGCAAGATCGTGGGCTCCTTGTGTGCCATCGCTGGTGTGCTGACAATTGCCCTGCCCGTACCTGTCATTGTGTCCAATTTCAACTATTTCTACCACCGAGAAACTGAGGGGGAAGAGCAGGCTCAGCTGCTCCATGTTAGCTCCCCTAATTTAGCCTCTGACAGTGACCTCAGTCGCCGCAGTTCCTCTACTATCAGCAAGTCTGAGTACATGGAGATAGAAGAGGATATGAATAATAGCATAGCCCATTATAGACAGCCCAATATCAGAACTGGCAACTGCACCACAGCTAACCAAAACTGTGTTAATAAGAGCAAGCTACTGACCGATGTTTAAAAAGCAAACAAGCAAACAATCAAAAAAGCCCCACGTAGCAGCTTGAAAGACTTAAAAAACAAAACAAAAACTCTTAGTGACTGACCCATGTCACACTTTGTAGATACTTTACTGAATAGTCTTTGAATGCTCTATCTGTCAATGCATTGTTGCATTGCGAATTTTTGGCGTGGCGAACCAGAAGCTTTCAAGATTCATGAAAAAAAGAAACTATTTTCATTTTATTTAAAAAAAACGGGAAAAGAAAGAGTATTTTCTAAAACTGGTTAAAAAAAAAAAATCAGTCCATGCACTAGTCTAGGTAAAATAAGATTCAGATGCTCCCCCATACTAAAACATTTTTAATCCTTTGGCTTCTTTAACTTATTATTATTATTTTTTAGCTTAAGAAAACCAGACGATCATTTAGAAATATAAAACCAAAATTTGCATGGAACTCCAATAGAAAATCTTTGCCAACTGCACAGTGCATTTAAGACAGTGCATCAGATGTATTACATGTAATGTGATAAGCCAGCCAAGATGGGCTAGGAACAAATCTTTTTATTTTGATCAACGGAGCTGCATATTACAAGGTGAAAAACAAAATTACTTAAGACTGGTTCACAAAGTACCTTATAAATCTAAAACTGGTCCTGGTGCATAGGGATTTTCCCTCTGCCCCACCTCCTTCTAATCCAAACTATTCCCTAAGAAAACAATAACTGAATTAATTGATTCGTCTGCAGGCTGCTAAGTTTTCTCAACTGCAGATGAGCCAAACAGGTCTTTTCTTACCAGTCCTACCACTTAGCCCCTGGCCTCCAGAACTGGATGTAAAACCTTAGCCTCCTTATTGTGAGAGAGCACAAATGGAGTTAAATGTAAGCATGTTTGAATCTGGTAATATTTCTTTTATAATCGCATGCTGAGAATGTTCACTCAGACAATAGGGGATAAGCTTATCTTGGAATCAACTCTTCTAAAAATAGATCCTTTTTCATTTGCATTCACCAAAAGTGCACTCCTTCATTTATTAACTATTTTATTAGTAAATAAAGTACTGTATTTAAGTGCATATGTTAGTCAGATGGGAACAATAACTTTTTGGAGCTCAAAGCATGTTCTCTTATTCAGCATTATGGCCTTTTGACTAAGGTGTACCTTGAATTAATAACTGCATGATTTCAGTTTAAAAAAAATTTAAAAATTTACAAGTTTGTGGGAAGAAGGGCCCAAAAGAAATAATGGGGGGTGGGGGTGGGGGACACTCAGTCAATTTTCCTGCCTTTGCTCAGGGAAATGTTAGGTTTCTGTGGAGGTGTAGGCAGAGAGAGGACCAATATGCCCATCCCTTAAAGGGAAACTACATAGAAAAATAAGTCATCAAGGTATATATAGCAAACACCTAAGAACAAGTATTCTTTCTAGCTGAAATAAACACAAGCAAAACAAACAAAAAAGGTGCAATACTGCATGTTTTTTGGTGCATTCTTCGGATGTAAATGAAAATGTTTATCTCTTGTATGCATCCAAAGCAGAGCTGATTTCTTTTTGCAGTCATGATTTGAAGTCTGTAGAGACTTTGGCTCTCCCCTTGAGGCTCCCTGAAGAAACTCAACCAATTGATTTAATAGTTGCGTAGTGCCTTTATCCTGTACCCACAGTGAACTGCAGAAAGTGCCTCCGTTAACACAGCTGAGAAGTTAAGTGACAAAAGGGGGGAAAGGTTGGGGCACAGATATTTTGCTTTTTCTTTTTCCACCAACACTTTCTCACTTGACCACTGTGAGAAGACCACTCCATCCTAAATCCTGGAGAGGAGAGACCCAGGAGGATGCTGTCTCTCTGGTCGTCCCAATGGACTTGGTCCCTTTGGCAGCCTGGTGCTGAACGTGAACCGGGGCCTGACACCCATCTTCGAACTGGACATGAACTGTGAACTTTTTTTCTCTCTTCTCCACCAGAAGCCAAGATAAACTTTTTGAGAATTTGTTTCCTATTGGGGGCGACTCTGGACATGCAAGGCTTCCTCAGGCCCAATATAATGTTCCTCGCACATTTCCTTATTCCTTCTCTGTTAACAGCAGCACTTTGCCTACTCTCTACTCTCAAAAAAACCAATCTCAGATCGTCTGATCTTTTCAGGCTTCATTGTAGTTGTGGGGACACTTGATTCATAATGACATTTCCTAGGCCTTCCCTCCTGGCCAGCTCCCGTCAGATACTTCCCTATGATGCTCCTACCATCTTCCCACCTGACAGTCACCTCACCAGCTGAACATCTATCTAACTTTGCTGCCCCAGCCACCCGGCCCAGAGCATGCTAGAGACCCTATGCCCAGCTGGAAGAGAGCCACGTAACACAGGCCTCTGGAGCCCAGCAGCTGTCCACCAATGGAGAGACAGTCATAGCCATTTTAAGGACACTGAGGTGGGGAGTCTTCATCCTGCACTTAGCATGTGGCCACCTGCTGCTGAACACCTGACATTCCTGCCCGGCTTCTTCTGGAAATCTTCCCAGTTACTTCCATCCCTTTGACCCAGCCTATCCTAGACTTAGCAGTGAGGCAATAAACCAAGAAACTAGAGTCACAGCCAAGCTGGCTGACTACATGAAAAGAAAGAACATGGATATTTTTTTTCCTGTGCGGCTTCTGTGAATCTGTGAGACGAGCATAACTCATACATCATGGAAGAACAGGGGCCGAGACCTGCACAGCATTTGACTACAGGGCATTAACCCCTCATTCTCTCCCCCATGTGATGTTTCCTTCTCATTTGAACCTTAACTCATCTTGCCTATTCCTCTCCTACCTGCTTAAATGTCTGCAGTTGGGAAAAATTGCCAACCTCCCCGAAATCTCCCGGGATGTCTTGATCTTTTATTTCTATTCTGAGGTCTAGGACACACAGAACTTGAAACGCTACACTCTGTCAACAGCAATAATCCACTTGGTACTGTGGGATAGATGGGTCAGCGGATGAGAAAACGGGACCGAGACCAAGACTGACTTTGGCTGCTTGGCATCTCTCATAGTTTACCCCCTGGACTGGTTGATTCTGCATGTGTTACAGGACAAAGTGCTGCATGCAGTGGACCTGTCGGCCTAGGGTTGGGGATGAGTTGTTGTTCTCACTTTGGGGTGGTATGGGAAAAATGAATGCTGCTTATCCATCTGTAGCTCATTGCAATGAAGGTAGTAAGAATGGAGTACAGGGGTTATCTGTGTAGCATAGGCATGCGAAGTTTGACAAAGCTCTTATACCTTGCACTGTAATGTGCTGAAATGTCTTTGTAGACCTGAAGGTGCACTTAACAAAACTGCCTATTTAGGAATGATGATCTTTTGGTTTACTTATTTATATTTAATTTATTGGGCTTTTTATCTTTTCATCCCCTTCCTAGGTATTGAGCCTTAATGGCTCATGTCCTGAATTTTTGTTTTCTCCGGAAGGAGAAGACTTCTGACATGCTGATAGCCATAGCTCTGCTCTTCCAGTGCACTGGGACCCTAGTTCAATAGGGTGGCAGTGGAAGAGATGGGTCACACCAGCGCTGTTAGCATCCCAGAATCTCTGAAGTGGTTAACGCACCTCAAATGATCTGAATTAGACAGACCAAAGCCATTAATTTCTTTTTTCCTCAGATTTACAGAAGACCAACTGTAGCCAGGAAAGTTTTTTGTTTCTGCGTCCCCTCTTTGCTATCTGCGCACAAGCCCTCTGCTATCCTTTTCCTGTTGAGAGTTGAGTTATGATTATCAGTTAAATCAGTTCATTGGGAGTATATTAGAAAAATCAAATGAACACAGTAAATTCTTCTCCTGGAATTATGGCTAATGGACAGTCATGTCTCTAAAAGGAAATTGTACTGTAGGTTTAGATTCCACTGTGGTGGAACCAAAGCACCGGTAACATCACAATCTTGACTCACTTGAAAATTAAAAAACAAAACAAGACCTGTAAATGGTAAGGGAGGGATAGATTTCTTTAAGTAGAAGGTTAGTCCGTAAAAAGCTTTTGTCACATTGCATATACAGACTTTTCAAATTAGTTAACGTGCGAAGGAGTCAGTATAAATAGTTTCCTAACCCTCCCATTCATAGAGGAGACCTCAAGACACATTTTTTTTTTAACATTTAAAGTTTTAATTCCTTGTTTGGTAGATTGGCTAAAACAGAAAAGAGAAAGCGAACATTCGCAGAAGGCAATTCCCCATTTTCTTCCAGGAATGACTTATTCCTGGGAGTGGTGAGAATTGGTGGGTGGTAACCATCCATAGTATAAAATTGCTAGAAAGAATATAAACTGCCAAACAACCATTTTATCTTTCAACTTTTTCAAGGAAGGATGAAGTCTTTTGATGTTTACGTTTATTGTAAGATGACAAACACTAAAATTTAAAAATCAGACACAACCCAAGTTGAGTTGTGATCTCAGGAGGGGGCCTCTCATCTACCATGCAGTGTATTCGTACTCGTATTTATCTCATGGAGTTTCAGGGTATATGCGAACATGTCCAGTATGACTCAGGTAAACCTTAGAAGAATGTACATTACTTATCATTTTTGTAAAGAAGCAAATAGGAGCTGAGTTGTTAACCAAAACTGTTCCATTACCTTGAGTCACTGTGCGAACTCATTCAGGGTATAGCTGTAAGGTTTAGAAGGCTTGGGATCAAATGCTAGTCTCTTTGCTCAGGCAAAATGCTCATGGGCTGTCTTGGGAAAGCCAGTGTGATTGTAAGGGGTGAGGCCCTGCTGACCTCAGGACTATGAGCTTTAAGGAGATTAGCCCTAGTCACAGTGATTTTCATTTCAGAGCTAACTAGGAGTTTATTGTTTATGACATGAGACTTCAAAGAGCGTAGAAAAGATTTGTACCCAACTCA